ACAACGAGGGAGGGACGGAGACGGCATCACATCACGGACGGCATCATCCATTCATCCATCAGCTGCTGCTGAAGATATCCTCCTCGTGCCGATGGCTATGTCAGCTATATTCGAGATGGACAACGAGGGAGGGACGGAGACGGCATCACATCACGGACGGCATCATCCATTCATCCACACATCGTATGTGTGTGCCAGTGATGAAGCAGTGGAGACAGGGCTTCAACATTCAAACATTTGTAGCAATATGTTTGTTTGCGTCAAGCCCTGCACCGACACACAGGCACCTTCTGTGAGGAAATCACATGTCTCCTCACCGAGTTATAAACGTTCTTACAACAATATGTGTGCGAGTCTTATTGATGCGCCTTATTCTTCTTTCGGCATACATGCACCAGTCATGAAGGTGCCGATGAAGATCACAGGTAGCGTGCCTCTCTCTCCCTCCCTCTGCGTGTGTGTGTGTGTGTGGACAGCTGCTTTGCATCTGCCGATGTCGCCTTGGTTGCAGCAGCACGTGAGCGATAGCGCACATGAATGGATGGATCTCTTCACACATTACGAATCACTCCGCTATTCTGCAACGACACGGTGTCAGTCGATTCACACGAGTGTGTCCTTGTAAGTCAAGGATTGAATCCATGATGGGTTCGGCTCTGTCCGTCAATTCATTCAGTCACTGGTGTCGCTCATCTCCCTCACTGCGCCAAGTCTGCATCAGCATCACAGTCATCAATGCATGCATCAAAGTCATGACCATCAATACGGTCTCTGGCCTTCTGCTTCGCTCCTTATGTGCGTGCCTTACTTGTCATTCGTACCATCCGCCATATCAGTGTCCCGCGGGAGGCACCGATGATTCACGACGCGTTTTGATGCTGCTGGAGCGTCGCTATCCTCGTCACTCTTCTAAGAGATACACCAAAGCCAAACACACAGTCCTTGCATCATGTCAGCCTGGGCCCATGCAACAATACCTTAATACCTTGCTTTTTTGTAACTTTCCTTTCTCATCAGCGGTCTCCCTGTCCTTTTTCTTCTTTTTCTTGGCCTTTTTTTCGGCTGAATTCTGCTCCTTGGCATCGACCCCTATCATGGCATCCATAGGACCTGCAGACAACAGTGAGTGTGTTGTCCCATTCGGTGTGATGTGTGTGTGTATCCTTTAGTATGTGCCATGTATGTCGATAGGGTTGTTGTCAGGCAGCCTCTTTTTATCGCCTTATTTGTCTCTTCACACACACACACACACACACACACAACACACATACAACACACACACACAACACAGAGAGAGAGAGGTAAGTTTTAACCATAAAAACCAACACACACAAAAAAACAACAAACAGGGTAAGATGGGCGTGCGTGTTTGTGACTAACCTAGTGCTGTTTTCTTGCTCGTGATAAGCAACCGTCTCCAGCTCAATATCGAAGCGGACCGACAGACCTTTGATGACAACATGAATATGTGTTTCTCTCCTCGATGGGTCGTAGTCTGGCTCACTTGAATTTGAATTGTTTGGATCGTTGGCTGTGCTTTTAGTAGTGCTCATTACTCGGAATCGACAGCAGAATGGTGGAAGGATCACCTGATGATAACAGACAATTGTTGCAGTGCTCATGTATCGGTGAATAATACTGTTGACACATCAGCTCGCATGCTGATGTTGGGCATCATGGAAATGACCTCTTCTGTCATACACATGGAGACAAAGGACATAGACTGGACCGATTGACAAGCAGTCCTTGTGATGTCACACCTTCATCATCAATATCTCCAGACCATACTGTCACATAGCGTGGTCGAAAGCCGGTCCTAATGACGTTACAGAAGGATGATGACTGTATGCTGGTTCGAGTGCATACGCCCAAATCTTACGCGTAGTGCGACGGATCGTCGTGCAGGCCTTGGAAGGAGACACATAAGCAAATTCCCTTATTCTATACTGACCCCTTACATCTTGTGCTGGTTTCTTACGCAGTTTGAGGATAAGCTTGTGAAGGCCATAAAGGAATTCATTCATGCTTGATGATAAGAGTATTTCATCTTGTTTTGCTTACCTGAGCCACGCCTTTATCGTCAGAGGAGGATCCTTCCCATTCCTCTACAAAATCCTTGCTCAACCTACACACACCAAACCATCGATCGTTTGATGTGTGCAGCCATTCATTAGCTAAGGCATAAGGCATAAGCCGGCTTACGACGTAGAGACGAATGTTGAGAACCTATGAATTAATGCCAAGAGATTTCATTTAAGTGCAGCGCTCATGTACGACGGCCAAATAAGTCTTCATCAACTTACAAAAACGTCTTCCCATCACGATAGTCCTCGGGCACGTATTCAATCCTGGCTGCACACATAAGGAAAGCGCACTTGAGAAGAAATGCGCACAGGCTCGAGGCTCAATCAAATAGATGTATGTCTCACATTTTGACTTCCGATACAGAGAGACATCTGCGCCGTCCTTGTCTTTGCCCGTGAAAAAGGGGACTTCCTCGTCTATGATACTTCCCTGTAGGCGGAGGATAAGAATGTTTGTAGGGTATCTGTTACATGTGCTACATTTGTTGTACCTCGGGAAGCACCTTGAAAAGGAAGCGAAACATGTAAAGAACATGGCTGAGTTTTGCAAGCGAGACATCATCGGTAGCCAGTGGCTTGTTGATCTGCAGGGCAGTTACAACGGCTAGCTAGCAATGGCAGTCACAACCGTTCTACTCTCTTTTTCTCACCTCTTGGTACAAGTCGACGCCTGATGCAGCGTTTCCAAATAGGTGGCTACAAGTGGAAACTGTCATTAACCGTAACACTCGTCTGTGTGTCCGTGATACTCATACAAATACAGTCCCATCAGCACGCAGACTCAAACAGGCTCAAGGGGAGGAGGGATC